GAAGGAGAAGGAGAAGGAGAGGGAGAGGGAGAGGGAGAAGGAGAAGGAGAAGGAGAAGGAGAAGGAGAAGGAGAAGGAGAAGGAAAAGGAAAAGGAGAAGGAGAAGGAGAAGGAGAAGGAGAGGAGAAGGAGAAGGAGAAGGAGGAGGCGAAGGCGAAGGCGAAGGAGAAGGAGAAGGAGAAGGAGAGGGAGACGGAGAAGGAGAAGGAGGGGGAGAGGGAGACGGAGAAGGAGAAGGAGAAGGAGAGAGCGAGAGAGAGAGAAGGATAAAGAAGGAGAGAAGGAAAGAAGATAAAGGAGAGAGAGAGGGCCCTGACGTCTGGGTACAGCTGCTACTAGTTGTAACGAGCCGCTCGCGACGGGGACCAAACCTTCCAAAAGTGTCTGTGGGGACCCTGGCTCCGTTCTCTTCCAAGGCACCGCCGCCACAGGAGTAGGGAGGACAACAGATCGACGGGTGTCGGTTTTGCCGCAGGACGGCCGATCAACAGACGAGCAGGTCTGCCTGAAAAATGCACATCACCACCTCCACTGCTTCCATGGAAACGAGCGCAATGCATCGCAAGCAAGGCAAAAATATGCGCCCTTCGTCGCGGTCAGTGCCAATGGTCCGCAAAGGAACCCGCTTGTGAAAACCGCAGCCTTCTTTCTTCCTCCACAAAGCGGAAAGCCAAGCACCCACGGGCACTTGGCTTCTCCTGATGATCGGGTGGGTAGAGAGAGCGAATCACATGGTTCTGCATGAACTGAAGTTTGCAGTTTGGGGTGAACTACTGTACTGCCTCAGAAGGCAGACTTTTCAAGGTCTTAGTTGTTCGGTGTTCCGTACATGAAGAAAGACTGCAAGAAAGCCGAACGTGCTTCGAGGTGCACGAGCTGCACTGAAGGCCACGCGCGTGCAGATTCCGACATCCTCCGGTGCATCCGCTGCGCCACTTGGACCGCCGCACCCAAGAAGGCAGGGAAGCAGGGGAGGGAAAGGACATGGCTGGCGGCCGGGGTGTGTGCGCGATTTTCAAGGTGCTGTGGTATGTCGGCTTCTTTCTCTTGAAGAACCTCGCCCTCTTCGCCTCGGCAGTGGTCAGTGCCAGGGCCTTAGGTCGGGATGCGATTGCCGCGGATGCTCGAGTGTGCTCGAGTCCCGAGGTGGAGGGCAGCAAGGGCCAGAGAGCCGCCAGTGCCACGCTGCTGAACCAGGCGATGTCCTTTGCGGCCGTCGCCGGTGTCACCATGCGCCTCGGAACAGAAGCCGTGCTTGAGTATGCTTCAGGGTCTGCGCAGGCTTCGTGCTGAGATCTGCTGAGCTGGCGAGGTCGGGCGCCATGCAGACTGCCACCTTCAAGAACGATCTCGACAATGCAGCCCAGGAGCCCACTGAGCCCACTTTTGTCGTGCTCGCGCTGCTTGCATTTGCTTGCATCTGCTCGCCTTCGTAGGCGGCCCTGCAAATGTTGGCTCTACCGGCATCCGTGGCGCAGGGGCAAGGCTCCCGCGATGCCGGCAGCATGTCCGGGCAGTGCTTGCTGCAGCTGCTTCACATGGACAGCAGCATCCACCACGTGCACGCATTGATGTCCCTGTGGCCAGCTATGCTTGTGGCACCCTGGGCCGCGTCGAAGGTCTCTGTTCCGGGACGGCAACTTTTTTTTGAATTTCTTCGATGGGTGCGCTGGATCTCAGGCAGTCCTCGCGGTGATCAAGGGCGGCTGGCTGGCAGCCGTGGTTGGAAGCAACGTCTTCCTGCCAGCCTTCATCGCCGGATTCGGAAAGTGCCGTGTCTCCACAGCCCATGTGCTGCTTCTGCATGGCATGTACGATCCAGTCGCGATGCCCAGGTACCTCGTGTATTTCCGGCTGCGGCCTGAATCTGATGAGGACCAGGCCCTCAGCGTGCCTCGCTCGCAAAAGCCATCGATTTGAGATGACAGGCTGACTTGATTTTGCGCTGCGAGCGCGAGCGTATAAGCCTTAGGCGCTGCACTTGGACTTCCTGCCCCCCGGACCGCAGATGACGTCCCATGTTCCGCTGCGGATCGCGGCAGTGCTGGGCGCCATCGTGGGCTTCTCGGCGCTGAGCGTGTGCAGCTGGATCTACGCCGTGCCTGGGTGGCCAGAGATTCGCTGCGCCAGAGACGACGAGCAGTGCAAAATCCAGATGTCAGGTCAGAACCCGATCGCCGAAGGAGCCACGGCCGCATGTGGCCTATCTGATGCAGGCTTATCGGCCAGAGTGCGCCATTTGGGAGGCCGGCAGGTGCGGTGTCCTGCTGCTTTCTTGCCTCTGCAGAGAAGCCTACATCTCGATGTATCACGTTCAGCGCATGATGGCGTGTGTACGTAGCCTGTGCGCCAGGTCGAGCGGCTGCTGCGTAAGGCCGGGGTATGCCGGGAACATGTGCAGTGAAACAGGGCAATTCAAAGAGGATGGCACCCTGCAGTTCCACAGAAGCAGGGACATGATAGCTCACAAGCACTTACAGTCCTTTTGCCGAAGAAACTCTGCGTCGAGTATGGCTTACACTGAGCTGTAGTTAAGGCGAAGAACATGTTTCTTGACTCAACAGAAACCTGAAACAGGCTTCTTTCCCTAACCCCCCAGGTGCCTACTATATATAGGGTACTAGAGCCCCTAGGGCCCTATGTAGTAGGTACCTGGGGGGTTAGGGTTTCTTCATGAAGATCTTGTTGCTGTAACCCGAGAAACCTTTGCCAGGTTCTCCTTGCGATGATCGCCGCCCTCCTGCCGGTCACCCTGGCACCGGCTCCTCGGCACAGCGGCCTTTATAAGGCTTTAGTAAGGCTTTCAGAAGGCCTTAATAAAGCTTTCATAAGGCTTTAATAAAGCTTTCATAAGGCTTTAGCAAGGCTTTCATAAGGCCTTACTAAAGCTTTCATTAGGCTTCAAAAAGGCCCCCCCCAGCCCATTGCACCCCCCAAGCCTTGCCTTCAGCGCCCGAGGTGTCAAACCCTGAAGAGTCCCAACAAGAAGCTGCCAAAACCGGTAAAGGTTTAGGGTTTAGGGTTTAGGGTTTAGGGTTTAGGGTTTAGGGTTTAGGGTTTAGGGTTTAGGGTTTAGGTGTGCGCAGGTATGTACGGATGTATGTCACATATATGAGCATTGATCTAAAGGCCCTTGTCTTCGGATTTATACAAGACCATTTGTTGGTGTAAGACAACGTGTCCGCGAAAGATCTGCCGCGAAAGGAAAGCAATGATCCGAGAAAGTTTTCACGTAACAGACTTGGGAAATGGAAAACCCCATGAAGAACATGCTATCATGCTGTGGGTGTACCCTTGACTGCCCAGAGCCGCAGTGCACCCAAAGCCAGGGTTTGAGGCTTGGGAAACCATGGACTTGTCTGGGCAGTTGCTGCCTAAGCGATAAACCCTAAACCCTAAACCCTAAACCCTAAACCCCTTAAACCCCAAACTCTAAACCCTAGACCTTCTGTGGTCAGGAACAGGCCAAGCCAAACTGGTGAGCAGGTCTTGCCTACAGCAACCAGTGTTGTAAAACCCAGCCTCAGCGTCAGAGTGTTGGGGAAATCGTTGTAGGTTTTCTGCGAAAGATTCGCTTTATATATAAATATTTTCCTTTACAAACATAAAGGTGTATATATATATATATATGTATGTCATGTAGTACTGCGTGGGAGGCCCTCCAGATGGAAGCCGTGACCTTGGTGCTCATCACATCCCTGGTGGCGCATCTGTACTTTTGGCCTTACAAGGCCACCCCTGGTCCTGTGTGGGGTGCATTCTAGGTGCATCCTGCTCGACCTCGCTTGAGGAAGACGCGTGGAACCGGGCAGAGATCGGGCTGCTGATCGTGAGCCTCACCATCACCGGGCTGACCACCTGCATCATCGCCGCTGGCTTGCACTCGCGGTGAGAGCTTTGGTTGGTTTTTGCGGTTGCCCTAAACCCTGATCCCTAAACCCTAAACCCCTAAACCCTAAAGAAGCGTAGGCCATGGACCGGCACTGGGCGAAGTCCAGCTGGATGCAGCGAGCTCTGGTCTTTCTGATCTGCTCCATTGCCGGAGAAGCCTGGCTGCTGTGGCTTTGAGGTTCTGAGCCTTCCTTCCTTCCTTCCTTCCTTCCTTCCTTCCTTCCTTCTCTTCGATGCTTCCTGCCTTCATTCCCCTCCCTCCCTCGCTCCCTCCCTTCCTCCCTCCCTCCCTTCCTTCCTTCGCTCCTCCCTCCTTCGCCTATGAGCGTAGCATGGCAGCTTCACCGAAGCTGAGGGAATCTGCATCGTCATGCTGGTCGCCTTCTCACTGGCCTACATGGAGGAGCGGCGCCAGAGAGCCGAGGCAAAGAAAGCAGAGGAAGCGTGAGCTGCAGAAGGTGCTCCTGCGAAGTCAGAAAATAGAATTGAGCGGCGGTACCTTCTTAGGAATGTAATATGGCATCGGGTCGCTTGACACAACATTGTACGTTTTCTACAACGTGACGTTACGTCTTTTATCCCGACTGACTGGTACATAGTGAGCAGCATTTAAGATTATGTATGCATGCATGTATGTATGTATGTATGTATGTATGTATGTATGCATGTATGTATATATGTCGTGCACCTAAGCATATGCATGTGCACATACAGCTCTACATTTGCCCACTGTATGTGATATGCGTGAAATGCCTATGCAATGCATATGCAACCGAGATATATACGTGTGAATCTGAATGCATGTGTACATACATACATGCAGCATCGCATATTCAGCGCGTACATGAACACAAACAAATCAGTCTACAAATGCATACACATTGCATACACATCTGCCCATAATGATATGGTATGGCCTGGTCTGGTGTCGTATGTCTGGTCTGGCATGTTCGGTATGTCTTGTCTTGTCTCGTCTGGTCTGGTCATACCTGGTCTATTCTGGTTTGGTCCGGTCTGGCACGGCATGCCATGCATGGTGTATGTATGCATACGCGCACACTTTAAATGTAAGACACAACCAGAGGTGAGGAGTCCATACAGGTTTACATACAGATCACCCTTGATAGCTAGGTACTCAGATAGCCAGTCCAGATTTTGGATCGCAAGCTGCGTTCATGTACGCATGGACACAGATAGATACATGGATACATAAGAGGAGAGAACTACGAAGTTAACCAGGGTAGCAGGGTGAGCAGTCTTGGGTTTGCAGGTTTCGGACTTGCATTTCGGCTTGCAGGGTTCGTGGGACGGAAAGCATGAGTCTGCTGCAGCCGACTTCTCCATCGGCTCGGAACATATTCATTTCAGACGAGCCGTTGAAGAGGAGCGTAGACCTTACGCACCCGCCCGCTAAACCCTCAAGCTGAAACCCTAAAGCCCCGAGCCTTAAACGCGAAATCCTAATCCGTGGACTTTCCCCAAACGCCCGAGCTGATAATCTCCTCTGCCTCGAGTTGGCAGCCGAGCCCGCAAAGCCTTACGGGTTACTGCTTGGGGCTTTTGTGGTTTTATGGTATTCACCGTGAAGGGTTCCAGAGTTTGCCGGGCTTAGAAAGATGGTATTGGAATTTTGGGGCTTGCAAAGTTGGGGGTTAGAGTTTTCGGATTTAGGGCCAAGAGCCACAGCGACCTGGGAAATCTACACATCTACCACCCCTGAGGCCTTAATCTCGAGCCTGAAAACCATTGAAGGAATCCCAAACCCTGAAGCCCAAACTCGAAAAACCCTGAAACCCCAAGCCCTAAACCCTTAACTATAGTAGAGCCTGTGTAGAATCGTTAAAAGCGCCTTAACCCCCCAAAGCTCCGGCTTTGCGATGGCACGGCGGCCGATGGCCCCCGGGCCGGTAGCCTCGGAAAGGCTTCGAGGGCGCTCCAAAGCCCCTGAAGACCCTAGGGTTTGGGGTTTGGGGCTTGGGGTTTAGGGTTTAGGGTCTAGGGTTTGGGGTTTGGGGCTTGGGGTTTAGGGTTTAGGGTTTAGGATTTGGGGTTAAGGGCTTTGGGTTTAGGATTTGGAGTTTAGGATTTGGGGTTTAGGGCTTGGAGTTTAGGGCTTGGGGTTTAGGATTTGGGGTTTGGGGTTTAGGGTTGGGGCTGTGTGAAGACCCGCGAGCCGCGGAGTTTCGGAACTTTCGATAGGGATCCCACAGGAAAGAACTTAAACCCTAAACCCTAAACCCTAAACCCTAAACCCTAAACCCTAAACCTTAAACCCTAAACCCTAAACCGTGACCACCATTACCATTCTTCAATGTGTACTTTTTGAGCATTTCAAGTTACTGGGGCTTCTGAGTCTTTGGAGTTTGGGTTTAGCATCTGGGGGTTTGGGTTTCAGGGTCAGGGTTTAGGGTT